CAACTCACGCTGCACAGATGGGGCGCGACTTCAACTTAAGCGCGTTCGAAATTGTGGGCCAATGTGCTGATCAAACATCGAGGCAAATTAAAGAGGCCTGGTTGTCGACCGATGGTTTGATAAACCGCCCCATAAATTTACCTGCCCCTCATGTTGTTTTAAGAAGCTTCTTATTAAGGGTCAGACACGGCGTGGAACAAGCAGGGCCATCAACAAACACCGCGACCAACGTGTTTATGCCTGATACAACTCGGGGCACACCGGGGAAGACGGAATGAACGCACATGAGAGCGATAACAACACACGCGGCACGGTGACAGATAGGGTGAAGGAGGAGGCTTGAGTGGTTAAGCGTTGGACGCGTAAAGGCCATCCCTGCTATGCGGGTTCGCCTCCCCGCCGATACCACGAGTTTTTTCACAACTGGGTAAAATAAATTAGGCAAATCTACCAGAACCTCCTAAATAATACCTGAAATGATAGGAAAGTGTAAATGACCATTTCTGGCTAGTGGGCCGTCATCAGTAATGTATGATCGAGCCCAGGTTTACACTTTCTGAGTCTTGAAACAATGTTTTGTTAGTTAATTGTGGATGCAGGAGCTCGTCATCCTCTCGAATGTGATCGTGCGTTATAAAACAGTAGACTAGTATGTCTAGTTAATGATAGGTAAAATGCCAAAAACAGTTATTCCAGTTTCTCTGGTATATATCCGTTGCCTCCTTCTGTGTGTATTAATAGTCACTGTGACTGCTAACGGGGCTTCAGATGGGGTCGCAAAGCACAATTACGACACGAATCAAGCAAACAGATAGTTTGTGTCTTCTGCCATATTATATATAAAGTAGATACCCTATCATGTAAATATTTCAATGGATATTCAAAAATGTGCTTCCGATTTTAAAATAGTACTAACTTAGGATTGTAATACTAATTGTCCATCCATCTCATTTCAAAATATTTCCGTCACGCGAGGATGCCTGCTTTTGATCAAGTTGTCTTCTTACCGCTTCTAAAAGGCATTTTACATCTATGATTTGCAAAAATAGTAGCATAGGTCACTAACCGCGCTGTGGACAATATTCGTTAACATGTGGCTTGAATTCGCTCATCGGCGACACCGGCGGCAGCCGTAGATTGAGAAGGAAAAATCATAAGAAAAGTTTTGTCGGGAAAACCGAGGGGTACTCGTGAATTTTCAAGTTGCGAGACCTACCCGTCATCCCACACTAGCACCTGAAGAACCTGAATGATGGATCGACAGAAAGCGGTTAATACTATCAGGCCAACGAAAACAAGGCCTCAAAGTAAGTCTTGTTCTATACTTTGATGCAGTTTTGCTGGTTTCCTCAGGACGCGCCACTTGAGACCGTCAACCGACGCCTGCAATATAAACAAACGATAGTCCAACGCGAAAAACTTCGGAAATGCTGAGACTATGCTTCAAGAACTATTGCAAAGTCGACGAAAAGTTCCACTAATAGGTTCAGGGCACCGTAGTGGGCTCGCGAATGTAAGGTCTACTCGCAGTACCGGTTTTGCAACAATTAGAGGAAGAAGGCTTTGCAATCGTTCAGGCCAAATATGGCTACGATGTGTAAATTATACCTTTGTTATCACAAATACCTGCAAGGTAGAGCAGTTGCATCCGAAGCAGGGGTAAGAGCCATGTATAGGTAACACCTCGAATTCTGTAATATGGGGCCGGTGGTGATGATAATAATTTTTGTTTACCATTTTAGTTTTATGTTTATTTCAATTAATTAATTTTAACATTTTAATTTTTAGTAACTGTCAAGAGATCATAACGCTTAGTTCGCATAGCCGTCCAGCTATTGAATGGTAGTAGGCATGTTTTGTTTTAGTACTTAAGTATCGGCTGTTTCTCAGCCGATGCCGTCCATTCGCACGAAACGTTGACCCCTGACGGAAATCCATAATAGCGTGGTTTACCTTGTTTTAGTTCGTTTAGGCACATTAATTTAGTTATATGTGACTTTATTGTCCTGCTTAGTTTTTAGTTTTGCTTTTAGTTTATTATTAAGTTTTGCGTCTTTATTGTTAGTTTTATATTCGGTTTTAGCTTAGTGAGTTAAGCTTATTTCAATTTACATTTCTTTAGTTAGTTAGTTTACTTGAGTTTTAGTTGAGGTTTGGATTAAGTTCAAGATTTATTAGTGACATGCTTTTTTGCTTTTTTCACCTCATCTTTCTTCAATTTTCGAAACTTTTGTTAGCTGCATAGAACAGACTTTGTAGAATTATTGTTTCATTTTTGTTGTTAATTTTTTTTGTTTTTGATTCATTTTTGTTGCATATCTTTGCCATATTATCTTTGGGATGCCCTTCTGTTCAAGTAAACAATTTTCCGATTTTTCTTCTTTTATAAACTCCATTTTTTTTCTTAAAACCGTATAATGCCGTACTGCAGAGTGATGGGGTTTTGTTGTGTTTTATTGATAACTAAACTATACTGTTTCACTTTTTATTTTGCATGTTTTTCAATTGTCGCGCACGTTTCCCCTGCTATATGTTAGCCATTTATAATAATTTTGGCAGGAGTTTCCTTGGTAGCGCAAGAAGTATCTTACTTATATTTACATACCTACTCGATGATTTTCAGTAGGCATAGTAGACTTTGTAGAACCATTGTCTCATTTTTGTTGTTTTTCTACTTTTATTTTTGGGCGCCCCACTGTTCATGTAAATAATTTTCCCATTTGTTCTTCTTTTATAAACTGTACTTTTTTACTTACAAACCGTAAAATCCCGCAATACACATTTATGGGGTTTTGTTGTGTTTTATGATAAGAAAACTAGGCTGTTTCCCTTTTTATTTTCACGTTTTTCCATTGTCGTGCACATTTCACTTGCTATATTTTAGTCATTTACAGTAATTTTGTATAAAATTTGCTGATTTTGCTAAATATACTTCTTGTATTTTCCCCCCTGCACCCCGAAGTTCCCCACCCGTATAATCGGAGTCTAGGGTTTTTCGTTTCTACGTTGTTATATGTAATAGAATGTTTAATCTTAATTAGGAAAATAACCATCTCAAGGCCTCTAAAAGGATATGCACCCTGACCCTTTCCCACCGGGTTCTTCGTTACCGAAGCAAAAATGGTGAAGTTAGAAAAGAAAGCCCTAATTTGCAGTTGTTATACCGCTTACAGATACCCGACCAGCTATGTGAAAATTTATTTTTGACACCCAATTCAAACACAAATCCCCAGCCCTAATGGAGCACTAGAGCCGCGGAAATTTACTTACTTCCCTACATGCATGACATTTCCAAAATGATCGCCTGATAAGAAATGCGCGTTGGCAGCATCATTGCCCGTACGCTTGGATCGCCCTTGCATGCAACACTATTTCGAGCGAAACGCAGAAACCTAACGAGTAGTAAACTAATAGCATATACCAGATTTCTTGCGCTAAATCGTCCTACACTTACGTTGGTCATAGAGGCCAATGATCGGGGACGCCTATGAACGAATATAAGGTAGGCATCCA